ATCCAGAATCACATGAGAACGAATGAACCACCACCACAACAGTGAGAGGTATAAAGAAAACAGTGGATCTCTGGATATACTTGCATTCATTGGCAAGAATCCACTGATGAGGATTCTTGCAAAATGAAAAAGGGACTCAGGAGGTCCCCAAATGGAGAATTCTTCTTGTGCAGAAAAAAAGGAAACATAAGAGCCTTGATATCGGGAGAACCATTTCTCAAATAGATAAAGGAGTAGGCAGTGTCTACTCCTCATATGAGTTGGGAAAGACCCCCCAAGTGAACTGGAGATCTGAACCAATTACCTAAGGAGAAGAAAGGTTGTAGCAATTAAAGCCACAATAGATGAGGAAAGTAGAAGCCAAACATCAATATAGTAGTGGAACATTCTGAGCATGACAGTGAGATGTGAAAAGAAGACAGTGGATCTCTGGATATGCTTGCATTGATTGGCAAGAATCCACTGAAGGGGATGCATCCAAGAGGAACAAACGACTCAAGAGAAGGTCCCCAAAAGAGAGAAATCCTCTTGTGCAGAAAATTAAGGAAACTTAAGAGCCTTGGTATCAGAAGCTATTTTTCTCAAATACATAAAGGAGTAGGCAGAGCTTGCCCCACATATGAGCTGATAAAGAACCCCAAATGAATGAGATATAGAGTGGGAACTAAGACAGAATTGGATAGACAAACCAGCCACCCAAAATGAGATGATTCCCTAAGGAGAAGGGAGGTCATAACAGTGAAAGCCACAACATATGAGGAAAGTAGAGGTCAAACATCCATATAGTAGTAGAACAGTTGGCCTCAGGAATGTAACTTCTGAGCAAAAACCCACTGTATCCAATGGAAAACATGTGGAGCCATAGCCAACTCAAAGGGAAGAGATGTAAATTGAATTTTTGACCATTGTGGACAAACTGAAGAAACTGATAGTTATGTGGACAAATCAGGATGAAGAGAAAGCATCTGAGACCTCAATCTAGGTCCTCCACAACCTAGGAGAGTACTCACGACATTGTAGGAAAACTGTCTGTCTTGAATAAAGAAAAGACTGAAGCTGTTTCACATGGTATAGATCTATAAAAGGACACCAACCTATTGTCTTCATAGGAATGATAAAGAGATGGAAGTAAAGCCATAGTGCCATTATTTCATGGCATTCTAAACAGGTGATATGAAGAGTGGAAGGTCAGGGACAAATTGCTAATAAAGCACTTGAATAACTTAGTATTCTGCTGCAAAGGAAGTCCACTAATGTACAAAGTGGGAAAGATGAGCTCTCATAGGACCAGATCCGAGGGACAATTCCAGAAATAAGTTGCCTCACAGACCCATGATAGCTAGCCTTCAAAGGAGAAAGATGTTGGTTAGTAATAAGATGACTAGGAAAAGGAGACTGGATAACCTCACAAGGCCAAAGAGAATAAAAAACACAGTGGGACCCCCCTGATTCAAAAAGGCAAGAAACTAAGCTGTGTCAGCTCAAAATTCCAGAGTATAAGAAACACAAGCAAAAAACTCATCACAAAGAAAGGGTACAATATGGTGCTTCCTAAGAGAAGATTGTGGGAGGTGAATGTCAAAATGTACGGCACTCTAATGAAGTCCATTCCACAAAGAAAGAATCATATTAATTGGGATATAGTGGAAGAAAACAATCAAGAACAAGCTTCCCCAGCAAAACTGAAAGGGTCATGATGTAAAACCTCTGAAAAAAGATGAAGTATGAACAGGTAGCAAAGAAGTTCAGTAAGTAAGAGACTAACACCAGTAGATGGAGAATGAGAGAGAGAGAGAGAGAAAAAAATAACGAAAGTGAGGAGATCCCCAAGCTGAAACAAACGACTCAAGTAATGGAAGCTCATGCAACAAGATAGGCCAAGCTTCAGCAAAATATAACTGGAAAAACAGAAAACAAAAGATATATATACCTGTGTAATTTAAACAGTGAAGGACAAAGATGTGATTACCTGATCCTCAGCAGGAAGAAGGAAATAGAAGCAAAATCAGGCATGGAAACAATAGTGGTAAAACCTGTTAAATAATGGGGCAGGCACAGCTGAAATATCAGAAGTAGGAGGTTCAGACTCTTGAAGCAGAGATCAGAATCGAATCAACCAACTGACACACATTGGTGGGAACATCACAGACCAACAAAGTGCCTCCACTTGCCATTATGGTATTGGATGACTCCTGTTGAGAAATATCAGAACCTTGGGAGATGTTTTTAATATAGAAAAGTGAATCCCTAATCCACATACTCAATAAAACTATTTTTTTAAGAAATCAAAATTGGCCTAGTATGTCAATGGTGCATAGGCCTAGATTATTGGCCTAATAAAACAATATATATACAAATATATATTAAATAACAGTAACAGGCAATAGGACATGCGTCCCATAATTACAAATTTGATTAAAAGAAAATATCAACTTGAAGATAATTAGCATCAAAGTTCTAATTGAAATATTTAAAATTTGGGATTTTTCTGGCTCATAATCAAGAAAATTAAGGAAAGAAAGATTACATTATGATTGGCACAAAAGTTTGAAATGACAAAAGTAAAAATGGCGTTACTTTCCAAAAAAAAAATGTCTGAACAATGCAGTACCAAGAAAAGCATGATCCTTTGTTCAAATGCTAGTGCTCATGAGATAAGTGGACATGGAGATTGGAGAATGTGTCACCCTTCTACTGGAAGATGACTAAAGTCTAATGATGATTACACCATAGGTTTGATCAATACACATCAGTATGTGTTTGGGTGGGAATTTTGATCAAGGCTTGTGGTAGGTGCAAGCTTTTTCTCAACAGTGGCATGAGGAAATAGCTCTTTGTTGAACAGAGAAGTGAGTAACTGTTTCTGAAGTTAATATTTTATCTTATAAGCTTAAGGTAAAATACATTGTCTTATTTCATTTGAAGGGGTCCAAACATATTTTGAAGTGCAGTACATTAAGAGTTGATTTTTTTCTTTAGGATATATATACACTGAGTGGTCACAAGTAAATAGACACCTAATTTTTCGTCATTTA